AGGAAAAGCGCTTTTGGAATTCGCTGCGCGTATTTTTTAAGTAAACTACTAGCAAAGCCAGCTGTGAGAGCGCATTCTCAATACTCAAGTTTAGAACGAACTACCTTCAAACATCAATGAACCGGACAAGGCACACGAGTTGACATTTCTCCCCATAGAGAAGGAATTCGCTAATAGCTTGAAATTTGTTGATGTTGCCAAAACTACTGCTTTGATTAACGAACAAAAATGCATCTGTGGATTTTGTTCACGAGTATTGTACCAGCACAAATACTTGCACCTACAGCTGCGCTTAAAAGTTGATCACTGTTGTGATATGAATCCAAATATATAAAATCAGTTGGCAATGGTGTGGGTTTACGGATATACAACTGCCATGGGGTGGCAATTTATGTCCGCCCCGGCCGGCAAAAGTAGTTGCTACGCCACCGGGCGCCATCGGAGTCTGATGTCCGAAACGAGATCGTAACCCTCAATCGTTTTCACGCTACTAGCCCGGATTCCCTCCAAGCTTCACTATTTAACGATGGAGGTAAGGTCCTATGCAAACCACTGACTTCCCTATTCGAACATATCTGGAAGGATGAGAATGTTTCGACTAACTGGTACTGAAGAGGCCGATGTCACTGCACGAGTTAAGCTCCCACTGTGAGGACGGTATTCGCCCGAAGGCGTTGAAAGTTGTTGCCATGAGTATAGCGGCGCCACTAGCAATTTTCTTTCAACGATATCTCAACGAGATGTACGCCTACACGATGTGAAAGCACGGAATCACCACGTCTATCTACAAAAGTGGCAGCCGTGCTGAACCAGCAAATTATCGCCCGATAACACTACTTCCTGTGATCTCCAAGGTTATGAAGTCCATTGTAGCTGTGGCTTTGATGAGGTACCTGGAGAACAACAAAATTCTCGTTCCGGAGCAGTACGAATTTCGCCAAAATCGGTCCTGTACCATTAATCTGTTGATGGCTCATGTAAGCTGGACGGAATCTGTGGACGCTGGTGTAGGAGTCGACGCGGTCTACTTGGATTTCTCAAAGGCATTCGATCACCTAGACCATCGCATTCTACTCCACAAACGCCAGAAATATGGAATCGGCGATCATGTTCTGGGCTGGATAGGAGACTTTATCGTACAACGTCACCTGAATGTGAGGGTTCGAAACCGCCTATCGGAATCCATCGAAGTTCAGTGCGACGTACCTCAAAGCTCGGTACTTGGAACCCGGCTATTCCTGGTTTTCATAAATGATCTCACGAGCGTACTATCTTCCAAATGTTTGTTATTTAAAACAGTTAGTTCCCTTTAGTAACTTAAAAAGCACAATTAGAAGACGAAGTTCGGCAGATGCATGCATTTTGTATCGTCTCATCAGTGCCGATAAAGATAACAGGTAATTTTATATAACAGTTTGCGGGTACAGACATACATACAAAAAAGGAGAGAAAATGGGGTACCTTCCTTCTACAACCAGGGCAGCCTGAGGCTGACTGTGAACACAAAGCACTGGCTTAAGTCGATTAATGGCAATAGCCTCGGCAATCTATTTGCTGATGATCTAAAGGTATGGCCTACTGCAGCTGCAGCGGAAGACAACACAGCGTTACAGAAGCACCTGGACAAAGCATGCACATGGTCCATCGAGAACATGCTGCATTTCGGCGTCATCGAATGCAAAGTTCTCAGCATCCGGCACAAGAGTACGCACAAGTACCGCCTAGGACCAAAAATGCTACAGAGAGCTTCTCACGAGTGCGATCTCGGCGTGCTAGTTCAGGATGACCTCGGTTGTTTGAGGTAGACTGTAAAGACATCTAAGAAAGCAAACCAGTACCTCGGCCATCTTCGAAGAGGTTTCGGGAAGTTTGACCCTTCGATCTTTCCAATAATGCTTAGTGCGTACGTCAGGCCGCACGCGGAATACGCTATTACAGCGTGGCAACCCTGGCTCAAGCACCATCTCACCGCGCTCGATAATGCACAAAGTAGGAGAGCGAAGAGTGTCAGGGTTTGACCAACCTCTCCTACCAACTCAGGCTGAACTCTCAAACTATACAGTGAACGTTATCCGCGTCTAAGGGGGATCGCATAATGGTGTACATGATTCTGAGAAACCCCAACCACCCATGCCATTCCCTTCTGATACGCAGTCAAAACACCCAGCTAATAGGTCATCAGTTTAAGCTGGTCACATAGTACAGCCGATTGGAATTTCGGCGAAATCTTTTCGCGCTTCGAATGTCACAGCCTTGGAACGCCCTCCTGGAACATGTAATTAATGCTTCTGCCCTATCTCTTTTCAAAAACACCTTGACGATACTCTGTCACATTTACACTACGTGCTATGGCCCATGACCACCAGATGCTGGCACTAATGCACAACAGACAGGGGGGTAGTGCCATAAACCTACTCGAGAATGAGTCACTCCAAACCCCTTGCACACAATTTGATAAACGTTACTACTGAAGAACCTGGATTTCTGTATCCCGTCGACCCGAGACAGCTGCGTTGTCCTTGTTATTTTTTATTGTTTTTGCGCTTATTACGTGATCTATAACCACTCTCCTTATTGCTTCGTGTGCGCACATTCTAATTCCTAACTCCCTTTATACGACAGTGCAGATAAATCTGTATCGCCCGAACCGACGATACCATTATCCCTTGATCTATCTTTCCTCACTCCAACCACCCTACGGGACATGTCAAGCACCTGCTTTTTTACTCGTTATAAATCATTGTTCATTTGTGTGAATCGATTATAGTGGCAATATCCAGAAAGGACTGTGCTAACCACAGACGTATTAGCCTAACGCCAATAGTGACAAAATTGCTGCCCTCAGTTCTCGTACGTCGCCTCATTGCGGAACGGGAATCCCGAATTAGGGAAGAGCAGGCATTTTCCGGTCCAGGAAGTTCCTGTATACACCATACAGTCACTCTGCGCTAGGTGCTAGAGCAGTAGCATGTATATCGCAGACTGACGATAGCTGTGTTTCTCGCTTTCAAGAGTGCATTCAATTCTGTCGATCGATGCATTCTATTCGTAATACTTGCGCGGAAAGGTGTTTCCACAAAATTTGTGAACATCCTACGTACTCTATATACGAACACTACATGCCGCGTTAGGGTCTACGGTAACCTGTCGGATAGCTTTCCGACAACAAGTGGTGTCCGTCGGGCTTATCCGATCACCGTTTTAGTTCAATTTTGTCGTGAACTGTCATGGAGTGTTCCCTTGCGGAAGCTCACGATGTAGGAGATGAGGTCCTGCGTGGTGAAAGGTTAGTTGATCGTGATTATAGCAACGACATCGTGTTGTTTTTCGACGATGTCGGGCCCGCGCAATGTATCACGAATAGCATCTAGTATGTTACGATTATTTGGTATGCGCTCCGTGCTTTGTAAGTGCAAAGTGTTGCTGCAGGACCACCAGCCACTTTATGACCCCTTGACTCTTGCTAACGAAGAACTCGAGGCGATCGATCGAGTCACTTACCGTGGCAGCTGAATCGGCAACGATGGGCGCATATAAACTGAAGTCAGTCCACGCGTTGTAAAAGCCAGAACTGCCTTCTTGTACCTGCAGAATGTTTGGCGGCAGAAGGGAGTTTCCGTCCGTCGGAAATGTCGTGTTTACGAGGCCACAGTGATGGCCGCCTGCTCAATGGGGTGAAACTTGGCTTCTTCGGTCCGGTGATCTGGGGCGCCTTCAATACTATGATCATCGTCGTTTGCTAAAGATTGCTGGCGTGTCCGCAACGGTGATGTGCGTAGGCGAGTACTAGGTAGTGATAATCATGCTAAATCCCTAGAACAACGCATAGCACTGAATAAGTCGCGTTTGCTTGGGCACCTGTTACGTATGTCTAGTCACCGCTTACCTAGGAGGGCTTTGTTTTGTCTGCCAGATGTAGGATTGCGCACAGCTCGAGGTTGACAGACGTTTATTTGGCAGCTGGAAATGAAGTCACTGAAGACAATACTAGCTTCCGTTGGCCCTTCTCGCATTCCGGGCTGGAGTCTATGTAACTCGCCTTGTGCTTGGCTCGATGCTTTACAGGGCAGTGCTCGCAAACGATACCAGTGGCGCGTCTGCTGCCGTCTCCTAGTCGAATAGCCTCTTTAACCTGTGTTTGGTGCCGTTATCTGCGGGGTAATGGCTGATTATGAGGCATGGCAGTGTAAGTCGCAAATAAGGTGCCTCGCTGATGCCGTCCTACCTTCGTATAATAGCCAACTGTTTGTAACGATAGATTGTTAACACAAGACGTAGGCGCCTTAACCCAGAATGTCTGATTAGGGTATTAAGGTCTTCCGATATGTCCCGCTTCTCATCATCTTATTATTATTCGTTCCGTAGGTCGCTATAGTTGTATGGCAGCAAAGCATCAGTTCAACTGGCTGATGTACTGTGGTGTGTGGTTGTTGTTGTTGTTGTTGTTGTTGTTGTTGTTGTGATGTAACCATCGGCAATGGATTGGCTCATTGTTTCTTTTCCCCATCTAACGGAAAAGTTTAGTGTCCTTCGGCAGCTTTCCCTACATAGATCGATTATGATGGACGTACAAATATGTTCTTCACCGAGACAACTAATGCATGGTTAGAGTGCACCGCTTAAAGCTTTGCGTTAATAAAGGGTTCCATGTTATACAGACAGGTTGACACCACTATCACCTTCAATTTTTAGTGGTAATTTGGTATCTGGTAGTTTAAGGAGTATTGTTTATGCACGTATTCCCCCATACGGAGGAACAACGGAACGACTCTAATCTTTTAAGCTGAGAATGCGACCGCCTTAGATAGTAGTACAAACATAGTGTTATATTCCTTTTGATAATTATTATCACCCGCGCCTATTCTGCGGACAGTCGTTCCGTTATGTGAAATCAGGCTGTTACACAAATATTTTGCTAGCGGTCTGTCAAAATCATGTTACCTTTCATTTGTGTTTCACAGGTATAACAGTAGATCACGTGGTTGTGTTTAATTTTTCAGCAATATCAGCAGCTGCTACAACTGTCAACATGGCAATTATGCTGTTCGGATGTCACACCCTTGCCCTACCTATGGAAGTTCCATGAACTACCACCCACAGTGCCACCCCTTGTCAAATGAAATGCTCTTGCTACCGGTTGGAGACGTTCACGCTTATAACAGCGGCTCAAACGCAACAGGTACTTATCATAGTACATTGCTTCAAAGCGGGGTTAACGGGAGCATGGGTCTTGCCTACGTCCCAGAAAATAGAGGACCGCATACATGGCGCGAGAGTGTCTGCACAAGGTGTCGCGACGTTCACGAAATTCCGTTGTGTTGTCACATGAACGAACATAATACCATACAGGGCAGAATTCCCGCGCAACCTACACATGGACCGCCAATGAACTCTTTCAGTTATGCAATGTCCAATTGGTGCAATAGTCAGAAACAGCCAACGTTATATGCGCTTGATCCAACTCAACCTCAACTAAACAGACAGGCACAGTGCACCGCGCCGAACATGAAGATAATTCCGAGAGAGACGATGGAAGGTGGTGTTTGTTCCAAACACATCCAGCCGCCCGCGTTCTCCTCCATGACAAAATCAATAGTATTCTCTGCAGCTAGTGCGATGGGTAGGTTCGGTTTTTATCCGCTTTATCTTCTGTTGAACAGGTAGTATTTGTTGTTTGTTATCTTCCCTATCAGTTTGTGACAGCTGCTCGCCTTACGATCGAGAGACAGCTCATCATTATACAGGTTAGCTAGAGGTGGAAAACATCTCAGCTACTGTGCCGCAATACAATACGGCGCGCAAACAACGTACGTCGAGGGAGCGGTGGACTGGTATGTGCAACACGTGGTCCAGCCATCGGAGCATGGTACATGAAATAACGGTGCTGAGCGATTCGTTTCCTTTTCTTTTGCCTTAACCAAGGCGTCGAACACGCTAGCTGCTCTCGCGGTGTTCCCATCAGATGTGAGCCGAACTGCGAAGGCACCGGTGGTCGAACGTAGCTAGCCTCCTTAGGTCGACTGATCTAAAGGGCCAGGTTTCACAACCGTACAATAGGGTCGAAGGTACCGCTGCATTGTATCCTCTACCGTTCGGGGCGAGAGCGACGTCGCGCCGGCGCCACAGGTGACGAAGGTTAGCAAAAATGCCTCGAGCTTTTGCTATACCGTTCGTGATCACATCTTTGATCCCAAGGGCGCTGATAGAACTCAGGTAGTTGAATTTTTGAACGACTTCTACCTGATCTCTACCAAGGGTCAGTGCATGAGGCGCTCCGTTCCCATCTTGGAGGAAAGCTCGGATAATATACTGTCGCGGAACAGACGTTACTGAGACCCAAAGTAATGTGACATGACTAGTAATGCGTACATAAGATAAGGAACTCAGCGCACAGGCGGATGTTCACTTAAATTTTGGCTAGACGAAGCTACATGTGTGATAGAGGAGTTAGTATAAATATGCAAGATTTAACGGCATATATATATATATATATATATATATATATATATATACCACTTGACCTACAGATATTGTCATCTTGCCACAGCACATGGATAAAAACAAAAAAGATGGAGAAATGGTAGTCAGGGAAATAGAGTCCCTGTACAATTTCGCAATAGGGCACGATTCCAGGCCTTATCCGATAGCGTTTTAAGCTAAGGTGCTCACTGTTCTTGGGCTCCTAACCAGGAAATCTGGAATATCACACTGCGGCCAACCGAATTGTCAGCGCCTTGACATCTCGGACTCAGTTTCCGTATTGGCCACCTTTCCTTCGCTTCCAATCAACACCGGTGTATGAGAGTACAGCGCGGTGGGACAACTGCAGAGTAGGCATACGGAAGTGGTACCCCAGCCATCGCAGCGCATGTAGGAAAACTATTTATTTCGGTGGTCGCCTGAGACTATCAGCTTGAGAAAATGAAGCCGAAGATTATCATTACTACTACTACTACTACCACTACTACTACTACTACTACTACTACTACTACTACTACTACTGCTACTACTACTACTACTACTACTACTACTACTACCACTACTACTACTACTACTACTGCTACTGCTATTGCTAGTGCTGCTGCTGCTGCTGCGGTGCTGAGAACACCAAGTTTATGGAGACTGTTCGCGTGAATTAGCCAAGTCTCGCGGTCATGCACAAGCACAGTTCGTACCGTAGCGTTGTAGACTCGACCTTCTAGTGAACGGCTAAGATCACACCGGTGCAGAGGTTCCGAGGGTTTACAATTGCAGCTGTAGCCCTAAAGATGTGCAACTTCATTTCAATGAACAATGAACGATGGACAATGATTTAGTACGGGTAAAAATGCATGTACTTGACAAGTCCTTTAGGATGGTTGGAGTAACAATTAAAAATCATCCTGTAATCCGCTCACGATTTTGAAAATCACAAGGAAAGCGGACTTGTCTACCATTTTTATAGGAGAGTCTGACAGAATGAGAGCAGGAGGATTTTCTGACCTGACGTGGAAAATATCTTTGTAGTCGAAATGGGTGAAGTACGTTTCGACATGTGAAACAGACATCTTCAACCTGCGCGGCACGTCTTGGATTGACAGCGAGGGATCGCAGGTAGCGGGTAAGTTGTTAGCATATTTCAAGTTACAGAGCCGATCACGCTGGCATAAGTCGAGACCACTAAGCCTGCAGTTTTCCAGAGCACTCTAAACTGCCATCCATAGCGAAGTTGAACAAGGAAGGCGATGCGGTGCGATCCTCTTTCCTGCCACTTGTGACCAAAAGAAGGACGATAGTCCGCCGTACACCAGCGCGCGGCATGAGGTTCGACAGAAAGTGGCTCGAAAAATGTCATCATACTTCTCGGGCACTCCAATCCTCCTCAGACAAGTTCAGTGAGCAGCGCGGTGAACTGAGTCAACCGCAGCATGCATGTCCAGGAAGCATACTTTTGTGTCTCAGCCAAAAGCTGGACGGTGCTCGCGCATCTGGCGGATAGTAAATAGGCGCTTACTGCAGCTCCGACCAGAGCGAAACTTAGCCGGCTCTTCACGAGTGTGTTGTCCGCGTACTTGACTGAGACTCATAAAAGCAGGGAAGCGAGTGTTTTGGACGCTGGTGCCTTGGCATTTGGCGCACTCCATTCAATCACCCACTTTGAAGATGTGCACGACGTCCGCTTAGCCTCAATCAGATGGGACGACGTATGTAGTCCAAAACTCTTTAGGGAGAGTAGGTAATTCAGAAAGAAAAGATTGACTCCCATTCTTGAAAAGCGACAGAGGCAATTTGTCGGAACTGAGGTTTGTGACACTCTAGAAAGAGTAGCTCGTAGAAAACTTCAGCCTCGGATGGCACAGTGGTGTTTACGCACCAGGGAACACTATGGATACAACTCAAAGGCAATTGTGGCCAGCTGAAATGCTGTTCGAAGCACGCTAGCCAACGTGCAAGCCGTTGTCGGCGAGTTTGAATTGGTTTGTCGCTGGTTGCACACAACACTTCGCCTGCAATACGCTTCTTGGCGCCGATAAATCGGATAGAATAGTCTGTGGAATTTTCCTGAGTATGTAACTTGTTTCGAAATTATTGAGAATATCTGTAGCTCGGGGTGTGGATGAGAGGGTTGATGTGTTCTCCGAGCTGGGTAATTTTGTTGCAGACGTTTCGTTGCCAAATTAGGCAACATCCTCAGTGCGGCTATCAGGGTCTGATTCGCAGAGCCTCGTAAGCCACTGACAGATCCAAGCGAATATTGATCGGCTCCTGCTTTGAATGTCAAGCTTCGATTCGCTCACGTGGGTCGGTCAACTGGTCGCGTCTTTGCCCCGTTGATCTGGTATTTATTGTTGTCATCATATGCAGAGCTTCGTAGACACCCTCTAGTTCCAGGTGCTTCTTGATTGAGTTCCGGCCCGAATGCCAGGCTTCGATGAACTCACGCGCTCTGTGGTTCTTCGCTCTTCCAAGTATCTTGGCGTTTCCCAGATCGAAGTGATGGCCTTCGGCATCCACATGTACTGATATTAGTGACTTTTCATCATGGCGACGGATGGCCAGAATGTGTTCGTACAGTCTTGTACCAAGTTTCCTCCTTGTCTGGCCAACGTAGTACTTGTCGCAATCTTTGCAGCAAGTTTTGTAAATCACACCTGATGTTTCTTCTTTAATCGGCTGGTCTTTTACCCTAAAAAGTTTACTCCGAACGGTTTCCGTTGCTTCATGTGCAACGTTGATCGTGTTTGGCATTAAAGCCTCGCTACCATTCCAGAAATCTCATGGATATAAGGTAGGATGATGGTTTTCCTTTCCATTGCGCTGGTGGAAGGGGGTTGTGGTTGATTCTTCGACATCAGGCAGCGTAGAATAAAACTTTTAGGGTACGAATTCCGCTGAAACATGTTAAATAGGTTGTCTTCCTCCGCTTTCCTCAGTTGCAGCGTGCTATAGTGTGTTTGGGCCCGTTGGAAAAGTGTCCTGACACAACTGCGTTTGAAAATCGCCGGGTGGTTACTGCAATAGTTTAAGATCTGATCAGTGTGAGTCGATTTTCGATAGACTGTTGTTTCCAGTGGCCCGGTAGCATGTCTTTTGACGAGCACGTTCAAGAATGGCAACTGGTCATTGTTCTCCTCCTCTTTGGTGAAATGGATGGCGGGGAAAATATTATTGATAAGGTGTCTAGGAAGCTCTGCATATGATGACTACCATAAATACCAGACCAACGGGGCAAAGACGCGACCAGTTGACCGACTCACGTGAGCGAATCGAAGCTTGACATTCAAAGCAGGAGCCGATCAATATTCGCTTGGATCTGTCAGTGGCTTACGAGGCTCTGCGAATTAGACCCTAATAGCCGCACTGAGGATGTTGTCTAGCTTGGCAATGAAACATCTGCAACAAAATTACCCAGCAAGTTGTTCTATCTTTATGATACGCTGCCTCCATCAGGCCTTACGTTCTTTCCCGAGGAACTATTTAAGCTCGGCGTTAGTAGCTCTGCGCGATGATTTATACTCAATAACAGCAGGAATTTTCCGGTGAAGTGATTGAGCGGAAGTCTACCGGTTGATGGTGTGTTTAGAGAAAATGAAGATGACGCGGGCAGACTTGTGCATGACTCGCCGGATGTGTGGTCAATGCGCCTCCACAGTTGGGAATGGGGATCTCTTCAGTTTAGAGGCTAACGAGTTCAGAGATGTCTAACCATTTTCTATGGCAGCAGCTTAGAAGTATCTTATCAGTAGCAAAATATAAAAACGTACTTTGTCAGCACACCGACGGTGGAGCTCAATCTCAAGGATAGTAGACCTGTCCACGATAACTCCATGTGCATATTTTCATTCACCTGCTCCCGTGGAGCAAGATACATCGGTCGTAGAAGTAGGTGTCTATCCGAGAGAGTGAAAGAGCACCGTCCCGCATGGCTAATGCCTAGAATCAGAAGAGTACGAGGGATGTTCAAAAAGAAATCGAACTTTTGATCTAACGGGGTAACCGGTAGAGGGAGCGCGCTTCGGCTACTGAGCGCATGTGATGGCTTGCCATTTGCCGCATTTCGCTCTGGCCGTTGGTTGGTGAGCTACAGACGCTGAAGTGAGCACATACATAAGCTGTTTGTTGGATTGGTGCCAAATGGAC